TGTCGGATTATTTCTTTTGTGGGACGAGTCGCGGCCTGAAACCCGGCTGTTGACAGCCCATTTTCAGCCGAACGGGAGCTGTTGATTCTGGGTTTTGACAGACTCCGGTCAGATGTCAGTTCCTCCAGAAGTGTTGTTCTGACAGCTTTTGTCTCAGAGCTTGTTGGTGAAGTCATTTAAGCTGCTCTGCTCCTTAGGAAAACACACGTATGAGGCCATGTTGCCTTCAGGTCTGGAAAACGATCACTTATGGATTTAGCTTTTGATATCTCTTATCTCATTTGTCTCCGTTAGCTGTCAGTGGGAATGTGGTTACTAAATGTTGAAACAGTTTTTTTTTTTTTAACTCATTGACTGCCAGCCATTTTCAGAACAGGGTCCCATACTGCCAGAGTTTTTTGAGCATTTTGACTGATTTTTCAAGAGCCACAGAATAGTTTGTGCTATGACTATGTAAACACCGAACACACCAAAAGAAAGAGTAGACTCTCTTCTTTCATCAGGAAAAAAAATGTGTTTCTACCTTATTCCGTTCTTCCTGGACTTGCGTCTCACCGGCGACATGTTCTCTCATAGAACCGTTCCCTTTTTCTTATTTGCCTACAGTCTATGCTCATCTCCCATCAAAAGTGGCACTGCCCCCTAGAGGGTCAATTTGTTACTACATACTCTGTCTAGAAGCCCATATTTACGGACAAGCTTTAGCAGATCGTCCCCCAGCCACTCTCGTTAAAAACATAAAAGACCTCTATAGACGTCTTTGGCAGTCAATGAGTTAATGGGTCATTTAGTCTGATTTACGTAAGAAATGCCAAATTCTAAATACAGCTTCAGTTGAGGCTTCTAGTTTTGTTTTCCAGCATTTAATTTTTTTAAGAATATTCACGTAGCTCTCCTGAATGTTTGCCACTGTGACCACAGAGAGCTCTGTTAAACTCGTAGGAACTCTAATGGCTTTTTCTCGTTTGGCTCTTTATCTGCGCGGCTACACATTATGAAAACTAAACGTTTTCCTCTTCTTTGAATCACTCCGCCGGAGTCCCGACAGCTAAGCTGCTTTTCCTCTTTAGGATCCAGTCCACCTCCTCTATTCTTTATAATTAATCAACCGTTCTGATTCGGTGTCTCTGTGTCTCTGCTTTCAGAAGTACCCGGTGCTCCCGTACCTGATCTTTGTGCTGAAGCAGTTCCTGCTTCAGAGAGATCTGAACGAGGTTTTCACCGGGGGCATCAGCTCTTACAGCCTCATCCTCATGGTCATCAGCTTCCTGCAGGTAAGGTTTTTAAAACCTGTCTGCCCATCGGGGTGGACTCGTTTATGCTAGTAGCTCATATGTGGCAGATTAGTAGAAGTAATGTCAACAGGCACCACAAAGTCTGTGTTCATATTAGGGTTGTAAAAAGTATCGATACTAAACGTTGGATCCGGATACGATACTCATTTTCTCTCTGATTTATTTATTTATTTACGTTGTTTATGATCATTAACGTGACGTTAGCCTTGAATTGCTAGCTGCGGCTAATGGCTAATAATAACACGCCAACATTAATCAAGTACATATCCAACCCCCCCCACATCCAAGTCGGCCATTTTGATTAGGACAGCAATAGGAAGATCCCAGGCAAGAAAATCGGAATTGCTTCATGGCAATATAGACATAAATTTTAAAATAGTGAAATTAATCTTGCAAACACTGAATTAAACTCTATCCATAATATTATGTTAAAATAGTGGATGTTAAATAGGTTTGTACAATAAGTCCAAACAAGTTTAAGCAAAAAATATTTATTTCACACAATTATGAAGGGTTAGGGTTAGGGTTAGGGTTAGGGTCAGGGTTAGGGTTAGGGTCAGGGTTAGGGTTATAGTTGGGGTTAAGTTTAGGGTTAGGGTTAGGGTTAGGGTTATTAATGTGGGCCACCATAACATCAGTAACAGGTCAGTTTGAAACCAAAGACACTAGCTAAAATTAATAAATTCAGTTAAATTTTGGAGTCTTTGTTTTTATCCTTGTGGTATCGAAAATGGTATAGAATATTTTCCTGAGTATCGATATGGAGTTGAACATTTTAGTATCATGACAACCCTACTTCATATTCAAATTAGAAGCTTTTTTAAATTTGTTGTGGTTCTCGGCTGATATTAATAATGTTTTATGTGTTCCGTATACTCAGCTTGTGTCCCTTTTTCCCCCTTTTTCCAGCTCCATCCTCGAATCGACGCCAGAAACCCCAACGAGAACCTGGGCATGTTGCTGATCGAGTTCTTTGAGTTGTACGGTCGACATTTCAATTACTTGAAAACGGCGGTTCGCATCAGAGACGGAGGCTCGTACGTATCCAAAGACGAGATCATGAAGACCATGACGAACGGATACAGGCCATCCATGCTCTGCATAGAGGATCCACTACTCCCAGGTTAGTGTGGACCAACCACTGGCTCTGAGAGTCATTTGATGTACTGTTTTTATTATATTTCCAGTTCCACACAGGTAGAACAGTGAAATAATTCGGTAAATACAGCAAATCTGTGGATTTTATACGTTTACGCCTGAAAAAAAAGGCCAATTTAAGATAGAATTGATCATTTTCTAATGGGACAGTAATCCATGATTTGTTAGACCCGAGTGGCGCCAACGTGTTTTTTTTCTTAGGGGTAAAATGATATTATCTGGGACATAAAATATCTGTACCAAAAAAATAAAAACTGTCCAGTTTTGCAAGTTTCTATTGAAAAGTGAGGCAGCTTTTTAAAGATTGACTGTTATTTGATATGTTATGACTTTACTCAACATAGAAAAAAAAATAATTAAACAAAAAAACCCTGAAAGCTTGATTAAGACAAGGGTCCAAAACCTCAACAAAGAGAAATAAATGAATTTGGATTTTATTTTGTTTTATGTTTGTTTTTTAAAGAAAAAATGATTTCCTATGGTTTGGAAGCTATTATACATGTAAGCAAAAATAAAGCACTTAAAAAAACCCTGGGTAGGTTCCTGGTTGTAACATTTATTTTCAGCACTAGGATGTGGAGTCACCGCCCTCCTGTCTGTGTAGAGATGATCAAAGAACTCCTGGTTTACCTAAATCAGGCTCTGAATTTACATCTCCGTAAAGCGTGTTGGAATCACAGAAAGCTGCGAACATAAGACATAAATCCCCAAAAAACTGATGGAAATGCTGTTTTGTTTGCTTTTTAAATATTAACTTATCTGTATTGTAATTACATTCAAATGCCGTTAGATATGTTTCACTGTCAACATACATTGCATTTTAAAGGGGACATATTATGCAAAACGAAGTTCTTAATCATGTGATTGTGTACATTTGGGACTGTGGAGGGCCTATCAGCAGGAAAAGTGTGAAAAAAAATGAGTGGGTCATGTTTTTGTGGGCCGCCTCAGTCTGAATCCAGGAGATAAATCAGGAGGTTTCAGGAGTGGGTAGTTTCTGACGTCATTAGCTCTAGCTCATTATGATATTATTATTATTATAATATTAATATTATTATATATTATCTAGCTCATTATAATATTCCAGCCTTTCACCTGCATGTTGCCCCCCCCCCTCTGCTCACTCCCCTATCTGTGGAGACGTCCTGGTAGCGTGAGCGTTAGCATGGTAGCGTTAGCATGGTAGCGTTAGCATGGTAGCGTGAGCCTGAGGGTGAGCGTTAGCATGGTAGCATTAGCGTGGTAGCGTTAGCGTGCCGACGTGGGCACACCTCCCTGAAGAAGTGGGTGGATTGTCTGTGTCTCATTTGCATTTAAAGAGACAGGCACTCCAAAGCGAGCGCTCTGAACGGGGCTGTTTTGGGTTAGGGTTAGGGTTAGGGTTAGGGTTAGGCAGGGGGACTGAACTGCTATTGGGCTTCATCCTTATGGGATTCTGACCAAAGCTTGTCACAGACATTACATTAGGACACCAGGGAACTAGCTTAAACTGTTGAAATAGAGTATAATATGTCTCCTTGAAGAAATAATTGTCAGAAAACCCCTCAAACTAACTACTGCACCCTCCTTTCCCTCCAGGTAACGATGTGGGGAGAGGCTCCTACGGGGCCATGCACGTCAAACAGGTGTTCGACTACGCCTACACCGTCCTGAGTCACGCCGTGTCTCCACTGGCGCGTTCCTACCCAAACAAAGACGGGGAAAGGTTAGGCCCCGCCCCAATACCCGGCCCTATAGAGGCCCGCCACGCCTCTAAAACGCCTCTCCCTCTCTACTCCCACAGCACACTGGGCAGGATAATCAGGCTGACACAGGAAGTGATCGACTACAGGAAGTGGATCATTAAGAAGTGGGGCGGCAGAGATTCGACACGGACGGACAATAGAGGTACGGATCGGACCAAACTCTTTGTTTATTCAATTGTAACACTGAGAGACGTGTGAAAAACTAAGCATAATGTTGGAAGTAAGGATGTCCCGATCCAGCTTTTTGCACTTCCAATCTCATCCCAGAGCCGGGATCTAAAGTTTAAAGTTATTTATCTACTTACTTAGTTGTCAGACTCATGTTGAACAGGGATTTACTCTGATAACAACTAGCCAGCAGAATTAGGAGAGTTTGAATAATACGCAAATAATACACAAAGAGACACTGACCTGTATAGCTTATTGTCATAGTGATAATAAATGTAATATTGTGTCTACTCCGAAGTCGCTTTGGATAAAAGCGTCTAAATGCATATATATGACCATAAACATTATTCAGGAATAAATACAAAATAGACAAAATTGTAGATAACAAACGGAAATGGCATCAGTGAACAGTTAAAAGCGCAAATAATATTGTAAACTGTATTAAAAAGCCAAAACACACAAACATCCTGAATAGAAAATAGTCTATTAATCCCGGATTGGACTTAAAAAAAAAAATGGATCTGGAGTCTGGATCTGCATTTTTTTTTCATGCCGGCCGATACACATTTTTTTGCAAAAACAAAAAGACGAGCCTAGTTGGAAGCTAAGCTAAGTCATAACACTGAGAGACGCGTGAAAAAACGAAGCATACTGTTGGAAGTATGGATGTCCTGATCCAGCTTTTTGCACTTCCGATCCGATCCCGGCCTATCAGAGCATGTGTTAAAGTTTAAAGTTATTTATTCTACTTACTTAGTTGTCAGACTCATGTTGAACAGGGATTTACTCTGATAACAACTAGCCAGCTGAATTAGGGGAGTTTGAATAATACACAAATAATACACAAAAAGACACTGACCTGTATAGCTTATTGTCATAGCGATGATAAATGTAATATTGTGTCTACTCTGTAAGTCGCTTTGGATAAAAGCGTCTAAATGCATAAACATTATTCAGGGATGAATACAAAATAGACAAAATCATAGATAACAAACGGAAGTGGCATCAGTTAACAGTAAAAAGTGCAAATAATATTGTAAACTGTATTAAAAAGCCAAAACACACAAACAACCTGATTAGAAAATAGTCTATTAACTCGGATCGGACTTAAAAAAACTGGATCTGGAGTCTGGATCTGCATTTTCTCCTGCCGGCTAATACACATTTTTATGTAAATACAGAAGGAAGAGCCTAGTTGGAAGCTAAGCTACACTTTCTATTGTATTTCCACAGTTTCGTCCCCGAAGGATCCGGTCCGGGATCAGGACCCCTGCGTGTTGGGGGGCGTGGTGGGTTCTGAGGAGCAGCAGAGGGACTCTGTTTCCCCCCACAGCGCGGACTCCCCGATGTCCATCCCCAGCTCCCAGCAGCACTCCTCCGCCTCCTCCGTGTCCTCGCTGTCCGGATCCGATAACGTAGGATTTCTCCTTCTCCGTTCCCGTCTTAGTATTTAGACCAGTGTTTTTCAACCTTTTTTGAGCCAAGGTACATTTTTTCATTGAAAAAATCTCGAGGCACACCACCAACCAAAAATGTCAAACAAATCTGTAGCCGCCTATAGTAACACTATAGTTATTATTTTTTTATTCTTATCTTATCTTAAGTGTCTTGAATAGGAATCAAATAAACACAAAAATTCAATTTAATCATATTTTATTTTTTTTCTTTCAAATTGCCCTTAACTCATTGACTGCCAGCCATTTTCAGAACACAGTCCCATACTGCCAGAGTTTTTTGAGCATTTTGACAGATTTTTCAA